GGAGTTCAGTAAGAAGGCAAAAACCAAATTCCTTAAAATCTGCTTATTGTCAGTGTTTTCATTCATTCATTCAAGTCATATTTATTGAGTACCTACTATGTACCTTGAATACCTACTATGTTTCAGGCACAATTTTATGTTCTGGGCAAGAAAACAGACAAAAATGGGCTTCCATTTTTGAAACGGAAGACGTCTAGAAAAATGTGTCCACCTGTGAAAAACATGAAAACTATTCAAACTAATAAAGTGAAGAAATTCTAGATTGTAAGCAATTCTAAACACCTTTTATTAGAGAAAACATGCCTCCATTAGAGATGAGGGAAAGATGGCCAGAGTTCCAGGTTCTCGGTCATCGCTGTCAGTGGTCTTGGTTGGCCTAATTTGTAAGTGGGGAGGTGACCTTTACAATCTCTCAACACCTCCAGGCTCATGTTGTAGGATCACAGTTTCTGTGACTAGCCCTGCTCGAGGAGAACAATGTCAGGAGAAATGGTGACTTACATGACATGGGGAAACGGAGGTGTAACTTAAAGGCCAAACCTCAAAGTTGGCTAAAACGTATGAATTTTAGCACCTTTAGACGTGGTATATTTGAGAATGCAGAAGGGCTTATCACCTAAGGCAGGTTCATAAATACATCCACAGCTCTTTCTCTTTGAAATCCCCGATCAGGGCAAAGGGGAAGAAAGGGAAGATTCTCCAAACCAGAAAAGATCCTTTGCCCTGTGCTCTTTACCTTTTCTGACAGTCTCCACTTATTTTTCTTGCTTTACTAGCTTTGTGTCCATCTTATAGAAGTTCCATGAAGGTGCATGACTCCAATAAGCCCAGCACCCAGTCCACTGCAGCTAGGTGTGGAATGAAGGGACCTGGGATTAGTGCCTCTCCTTTGTGCTCTCAGGAAAACTTGTGTGTAGCCCTATTTCAGCACATATTCTCTCCTGTGTGGTCAGCTCTCTCATCTTCCTCCTCTACTGATTGAGGATCTCTTTCCTCTCTGTATCCCACTGCCTGCCCCAGTGGCAAAGATGGAGGAGATTCTAAGAGTCCAACATTAGTTCTTAAAAACTAACTCTGTTTATATTAAGCAATATCCGTCAGTTTAACTCTCAGATGAAGTAGGCCAAATATAAATATCTAAACTTAAGCCTTTCCATTCCAAAAGTTGGTGCCATTTTCTTAATAGTATTGCACTTTGAAGTGTTGTCATGTCAGGGTATCAGAAGATTCATGTCATAGTTATTATGTTAATTGGAAGGCATGACCCTACTCCTGTGTTTGCTTATTTATTCAGCTGGGACTCATGAAAAGTGCATAAGCCACAGGAAGATCTTTTAGGACACCTACTCTGTGCCTTTCATCATCCATAGTCAGAAGAATAAACAGATGGTCTCTCCCAGGCAGTTAAATTTGGGAGACAGGACTGAGAATCCACAGTGAAACTCCAAAGCACATGAAACATCTGGACAATACATAAAGTCTAAATAGGAGGACACAACCATCATTTGAGTCATTAATGTGACTCTGTCATGACTCTGGGGAGACTGAAAAAAATCACCTCTCCTCCTCCACAGAGCTTCCTGACCATGGTTTTCAGCCAAGAGAAGCCAGTATTGCTGAGAAGCGGACACAAGGCATTTTCCTCTCCCCTACTGAACATCCTTGAATAGATCTGTCAGCCTCTTTGGCATCTAAAGTTAGCTTTAAACAATATTTGAACAATATTTGGCTTTTTAAAAAAATATATTTATTTTTTAGTTGTCGTTGAACAAAATACCTTTATTTATTTTTATGTGGTGCTGAGGATCGAACCCAGGGCCTTGCATGTGCTAGGTGAGCACAATACCACTAAGCCCCAATCCCAACACTTGGCTTTTAAAGTTAGCTGTTTAAAATATCTTTATTTTACTTATATATTTAAGTAAATACATAAGTAATACAGAGGATCCAACCCAGTGCCTCCCATGTGTGAGATAAGGGATGTACCACTGAGCTGCAACCCCAGCCCCAAAGAGTTTTTTTGTTTGTTTGTTTTTGAGCTGGGGATGTGGCTCAGTGGTTAAGTACACCTGCATTCAATCCCTAGTGCCAAAGCATAAAATAAAAAAGTTAGCTTTTTGAAGAGCCTTTATTTTACCTGCTTCTATAGATAAACATATTTTTAAAAGACTGCTTTTAACAGTGTCAGTTGTTGGCATAAATGTAGAGCACCTAGAACTCACATTGCTGGAGGGGATACAAAATGGTACAATCACTTAGGAAAACATGCTCAATCTTAGAAAGTTAAATATACATTACTCAGAAATCCCATTCCTAATCTAAGAGAAAACCTAAGGACTTGTACATGAACATTCACACAAGCTTCACTCATAATTGCTGCACTAAAATAATCCAAATGTTCAGCTACAGATGAAGGATTAAATTGTGGTCTATGAATATCCATCCTGAAGAATACTACTCAGCAATAAAAAGGAACAAACCACTGAAACACAAAATTAATGAATTAAAAACCATGTGATGAGTAAAAGAAGCCAAACACAAATTAACCCAATGACCCTGTATATAAAACACCAGGAAAGATAATCTATAGTGACAGAAAACAAATCTGCAATTGCCTGGGGCCAGGGCTGAGAGCTCACTGGGAAGAGATGGAAATGTTTATGCCTTAATGATCACATTATCATATACTTTTGTCAAAGCTCATTTAAATTAGATGAACTTTATATGAATTACGCCTCAATATGATGGATTTGGGAAGGGGTTGTTTCTAGCCTCATTTCAAAAAGGCCATTTAGCTCACCATTCACCTTAAAACCTGAGATAATTCTTTAACTGAATAATAAATAAAGGCTAGGAGTCACTATTTATTATAGAAAACTTGTCTTTTGGTGTTAATTTCCTACTCATCAGCTTCAAAAAAAAGCTTCTTTGGCCGACTAATATTGAATAATTTTATCACAGGTGTGACCCAAATGTTTCATAAAGACAGGAGGTTTCCATGTTATAGGAATATGAGTGAAGTCAGGTAATCATTAAAGCCCTCTTACTGCTTTCCTACATAACTGACAAGTGGATGTAGCCACGTGAGGGATTTTACTCAGGAATTCACTTCTCTAGGAAACCTCCTCGAGGAAGTCAGTGAGCTGCCTCATCAATATTTAATCAGAGTGAATTCTCCACCTGCTCATCAAGTCCACTTTAGGGAAATTCTATCTTCATGTTACAAAACACCCTGTTTCCAGAATGATGGATGAAATTCTGCATAGTGTTTTTTTTGTCCAGAGAGGCAGAAGAATATAGGCTCTGAAAATCTGGCTCCCTGGCCAAATCTGGGCTTTTCCTCTTACTTATGACATGACCGGCCACTCAAACTCTCTAAGCTTCTGTTTCCTCCTAAGTAAAATGTGTCTATTAATATATCCCTGCCTCTGAGGATATAAATGGTCTCAACAACATACTATCTGTCAGGCATCTGGCTGGGCAAACCTCACTACATCATCATCATCATCATCACTACTATTGCTATCATCTCAGTATTTCACTGAGATGAAGCATAGAAGCTTTAACAAAGAACAGGTGACTACTTAACTACAAAAGGAAATTAGAGAAACAAACATGTTATTTGACTTATGGCTCATATTAATGAATTAGATCTTAAATCTATGGACTTCTTAAAGAACAGGTCATTCAAATATTGAAATTTCCTGTTTAAAAAAAATTAATGAATATTGAATTAGTTTCATGCTCTCACACAAAGCTTAAAAAAAAAAATTTAGGACAATACTTGAACTTTAAACCATGAGCCTTTTTTCAGAGCCTATATTCTTCTGCCTCTCTGGACAAAACAACTATTATGCAGAATTTCATCCACCATTCTGGAAACATAATATTTTGTAATATGAAGATAGAATTTCCCTAAAGTGGGCTTTATTAGCAGGTGAACTACTGCTTGGTGCTACTGTCTTCCCTCCAGAAATATTCCACTTTTTCCTGTAAAGTGAAAATGGCCCTTAAAACTTCTATTTGAATGTATCATTTTGTGATCAAGAATGTAAATCCCACTTAGAAAGGTAAGTGATTAACAATCTTCTAAATGCTGATAATTTTTAAATGTGAAGGCTGATAAAAATGACTTTCTACCTGCTATACTGAAGAACCAAATTATAGTGAAATTGTTTCCTGTGAACTCGGTTCATTTCCCAAGTCTGATATGCACCAGGACTCCAGTCTTTATAAACCACGCCAAAACAGGTGAGGGGGACATAATGTTGATCGAATAGGTTTCCTTTACCACATTGTAAACAAACAATCCTGTTTGGTTCAAGGATTTCCCTGGAGAATGTGTTTGTCTGATCATTTTAAGAAAAGGAACACACACACACACACACACACACACACACACACACACACATATTTTGTTACTTTCCTTTTAAAATAAGAAAACATGAAAATATTTTTAGGATCCTGTAATTTTTGCCTCTGGTTTTAGGATCTCTTGCAAACCCTCAGTCATAAAAAAAGACATTCTCTTAGCATGTTGATCAAAGTTTAAAATTATATAATTTCAACAACAAAAGAACTTCCTAAATTCAATGCAAGGTTTTCAAAAGGTACATTCAATTGGTGCCAGAAAACAAATAAGTTTCTTTTCTGAAAACTAGTTTTAATACTAGTTATGAAATATGGTCATTCCTCAGTATCCACAGAAAATTGGTTACAGGATCCCCCAAGATACCCAATTCTAAGGATGTTCAAGTCCATTATATTAAAAATGGTGTAGCATATATATGCCCTCCCATATAATTTAAATCATCTCTAGATTGCTTATAATACCTAATGTGGTGTAAATCTATGTAAATCATAGTTTTACTAAATTCTCTAAGGAATAAGAAAAAAGTTTGCACATGTTCAGCACAAACAATTTTTTAAAAAAATATTTTCCGAGGACGCCGCCAGCGCGCGTGCGCGCTCCCTCGGTGCAGCTAGACTGCGTGCGTGAGTGGGAGGTGTCAGGCCTCTGACTCTGGCCTTCCCGGCTGACTGTTCCAGAGCGACGTCTCCAGCCATGAACCAGTTTGGTACCCGGTTGGTGGGAGCCACCGCGACCCCGTCGCCGCCGCCGAAAGCCCGCAGCAATGAAAACCTCGACAAAATAGATATGTCTTTGGATGATATTATCAAGTTGAATCGAAAGGAAGGAAAGAAGCAGAATTTTCCAAGACTGCATAGACGACTCCAGCAAACTAGTACTCGGCAATTCAAGATGAGAGTACTGTGGGGGATCCAGCAAAACTCTGGTTTTGGTAAAGCTAGTTTGAGCCGTAGAGGAAGAGTAACACCTGGAAAGAGACGTCCTTATGGAGTTATGACCGGTCTTGCGGCTAGGAAAGCAACTGGAATTCGAAAAGGGATTAGTCCTATGAATCGTCCACCTCTAAGTGACAAGAATATAGAACGATATTTTCCAGTGTTAAAAAGGAAGGCAAATCTTCTGAGACAAAATGAAGTACAAAGGAAACCCGTTGCCGTTCTCAAGAGACCTAACCAGTTAAACAGAAAAAATAACATCCCAGCTAATTTTACCAGGAGTGGAAATAAATTAAGCCATCAGAAAGATATTCGTCAGGCAACTTTTCTTTTTAGAAGAGGCCTAAAGGTTCAGGCCCAGTTGAACACAGAACAACTGCTAGAAGATGTAGTAGCAAAGAGAACTCGTCAATGGCGTACTTCCACTACAAATGGAGGAATTTTAACTGTATCCATTGACAATCCTGGAGCAGTGCAATGCCCAGTAACTCAGAAACCACGATTAACTCGGACTGCTGTACCTTCTTTCTTAACAAAACGGGAGCAATCTGATGTTAAGAAAGTTCCTAAAGGTGTCCCTCTACAATTTGACATAAATAGTGTTGGAAAACAGACAGGGATGACTTTGAATGAACGGTTTGGAATCCTAAAGGAACAAAGAGCCACTTTGACATTCAACAAAGGAGGAAGCCGCTTTGTAACTGTAGGATAGATCACATGTCAAAGGAACTTTTGAGTGATGACTCTGGTTGAAAAGTTGGATTGCTTGAAGAGTTCATCACAGAAATTCAAGAAACTTTACTTCAAAATATTCACAAGGCTAAATAACTCTTTATTTTTGAAGTTTTTTTTTAAACATGTATAAAATAATGCCCTGAAAAAATAACAGGGAATATACCTATCTCTTCTTAAAGATTTCACGGTTGGCCCATATGGAACAGTTCTGTTTACTTCTTTGGTTCCTCATGCAGCAGAAGGAAGACAGAAAGATAGAAATTGATTATTTTTATGATAGTGGTATTTAGGATCTCATCACCTTTGCTCATTTTTTTAGATTTCACCGTGGTGAATCTTGGTCTTCAGAAATCTGAGTAGGTCCCTTTGTTACTGTCACTGATCCTTTATTAGTGTGGATGTAAAAAGTGCAGTTGCCTTTTCTCCAATACATATATTTTTTAAAAATCTTATGAGAATTTCAGTTTTGGCTTTTAAGATGTATGGAAATATTTGGAACTTGGTTCATTTTTCAGGTAGTGTTAGATTAAACCCCCAGAGTTGTAAATCTTTAGTGATGAACTTTTAACAAGAAATGTGGCTCTTGGCATTATTCTCAGTTTAAAATATTGGCATTTCAAGGCTGAAATCTTGATAGGGCGTTGGAGAAGATCTGATGTAAAAACCTGACAGTTTTCTGTTTTATTAAATGAAGAAAGCATTTAATGAAAGGAAAGTAGTAAGTTGAAGGACCAGAAACTTAAGTGAAAAACTTCAAAATCCAGGTTATAGGTATACTTTTTGGATTTAGTGAAGTCTTTCTAATGTCCACTAATTCTTGACAGGTAATACTATAAAAGCCTTATAATTTTAAAAATGAATTGAGTCCCTTAGATATTTTGATAGTAAAATTAATAGCCATAAAGTACTACAATTCTTATTCAAAAGTTAAAATTTATAAATTTTAAAGCTTGCTAAATTAAACAGTTTATAGCTCCCTAAACAAAAATATACTGTAAATGTAACAAAGAAAAAAATGCAGAATTGTAATAGAATTACATTATAACCTTGTATACCTTTCACTTTGATTTCCTGTAAAATACAAAGTTCAAATATATGAGGAAAGTTTTTTCCCTACTTTGGAGGAGTGGAGGGAGTAATTCTATGGTGCCAAGATAGTGCTATGAGTCCCCAGCTAGTTGTATACTATAAATTATAGTAAAATGCCAAAATCCAGCAAAATGCTCCAGCTACAAGTTTAGAAGTTTGGTCGTTTTGAAACTTGACCTTTTGGTTTCCTTTGATGTTCAAACCTCTAAGGAAGTATTAAGTTTCTCTGGCATATATTATTAGTGTTGACTTTTCCTATAAAAGAAAACATTTAGGTTATCACTTCTGCCTACCTTGCATTGTATACTACACATCATTGTCTCATGCTCCTTGGTTTACTTACTGGTTTATGCTAGTCATGGAAAGTTATCAGTAACAGTTTCATGCTTATACCAAAGAATTATATCTGATCCTTACTATCTGGTATTCTGCCAGTACTTCTACTTGATAAGGGATTATTGGAAACCGGTCACAGAATTTGAAAATAAACATAATTCTCCTTAGCTATTCGGTACTTTTCATAGAGGCCAAGGACTCATTGCAAAACATTTTTCAAGTTTAAATACTTACATTGGACCCAAGAACAATACATTTTAGACAAGTTTAGAATTGCTGGTATCTTATTTTAAAGCAAAGGAAAAACAACTGGGCATGAGTTTTCTGTTTTTAGAACAGTTTGTGGAAAAACAGTATAAAAGTATTCTCATTTTTCTGTTATTTTAAATATTATTATATAGAGGTATTATTAATGCCATTTTTTGGAAAACCCGAAGAATTGCCCCAAATGTTGAAAGTAAGTGCATCAAATAACAAAGTGTCTTTGGTATATTAAACTTGTTCTTCATGCATCTGTAATTTAATTTTCTTTCAAATTTTTCCTAAATTAAAACTCTTCTGAGTGCTAACATGTTGGATATAAACAAAAACATACAATGTTGAAAGAAAATATCCTTCCTTGGAATGTCATTGTAGTCATCCTTGTTCAGTTCTTAAAGTTTGTTTTTGTTTTTGTTTTTATTTTAACAGGATGCAATTTAAAATTTCCTTTGCATCAAGGTGTATGCAAAACATTGATGCAGTGCATCACAAAATGAAGTTTGTATTTAATGAGGAGGTGCTTTACACTGTACTTTTTGGTGTTTTTTGGAAAAGTTACATTTAGATCTATTCTGAAGCTGTTCATTTTTAACAAATAAAATGTAACAGGTTTCACATGATTTTAAAAAAAAAAAAATTCCATCGATGTTTGATTGAATCCTCAGATGCAGAGTTTAGAGTGTTCTATGTTCTTTTTTGGTTAAGCAATTTTCATTCTTACTGGAATTTAGTAAATTTTCCTACGTGAGAGTTTTCAATTTTAGTTCACTTAAGGAAATTATACTCTTGAGACTCCTAAATGTGAGATGCTCTACCTTTTATGCTTCTCTGTGTTCTACTCTCTGGGCAAAATAAAGTTCTTTGGGTTGCTTCTTACAACCATACTTTGGCTGTACTGTTTCCTCTGCATGTATCTTCCCCCACTCACCTTCTATGGCCAATTCCAAGTCTTTCGGGAGGCCCTCCCACACACCCTCACCTCTTGCCTGTGTGGGATCATCTCTCTTGCACTTGCACCATCTCCCCCCAAAACAGTTTACCCACCTCTGTGTTAGATTGTAAGCTCTCCAGAGGGTAAAATCTGTGCCTTTTTTGCCATTATTTCTCTGCCATCTGCACAGATGTTTCAGCAAGCAGTTGATAAAGTAGTTAATTAATGCCTCTCTCATTAACTTAAATTGTATTTGTCCTTTTCACAAAGCCCTTTAGCTCTAAACTCGTACTGCCCCCAGACTTCAAGTCTGCCATGCATACCCACCACCTCACCCACCACGGTTTTGTCAGCTCCTACAGTCCGGCTTCTTAGTGCCCTGTACTTCATCCAACTGCACTCTTCTCCCCATCACCTGTACCCCTACTCAATTAAGCCTGTTCATTGGTTTATCTCATAGCCATCTCCAAATTAATTGTTCTTCCAAATTGTGGCTCTGTTTCTGGAGAGAGGTAAAAAGAATCAAAAGTGGGTTTTGTAACTTGGAATGGACTGACTTTAGGTTAAACTATTAGGGTTCATCAAGGAGCTGCAGAACAAATAGATTTTATAAACCAAGACAATTTTTAGTGGTACTAATATATGAAGCACATTGCTGAATTTTCAGGGCTTAGAACACAGTAGGCCCTTAACAAAAAGTTTCTGATTCAAAGAAAATAGGTGCTATTAAGTTGTACAAAGTCTGCTGGGTGGAGGAATAAAACCTATCTATACTTTCCTCATCCACTAGAGGTTAGAGAGGAGAGAAGCAATGTCCACATAAATGGAGAAAATTTTTCAAGAAAAGCCATCCCAAAGCATCCCATCCAAAGAATGTTCTACAATGCTAATGTGTTTGTCTCTTTCATTCTCCTTCTAGACCCTCTCTTGGAGGTCTTTTCCAAACTTCCTGGCCTCTTCTGTACTCTAACTCTACAGCTTCATCATGAGCCTCCATTCTGTTCCACCCAGATAGATGTCCCTAGATTCCAAATGGACCTCAGTACTTAGATAATTCATAACGATTTCAAATCCCATCTCCACTCTCCTATCCCTCTTCCAAAAAAGAATTCTCATTCCTCACCTTTCCTGAACTCCCTAGTGTGGGTAATAGTGTAACTGGCTTCTCTTTGCCATCTTTGAGCCCCACCTCTTCTCTTCATCTCATGTTCAATCTGATACTATCTTCTAATGATCGCACCTCCTGGAAATCTGTTGTATGTCCAAATGGCTACCCTGTCAGGCACCCGGTCATGGAACAGCAGTTTCTTCCAAGGCCACATTCCTCTGATAGACTTAAGAGAAGGCATTTACTTCCACATTGCTTTTGAGTCAGTTCATCCTGCACCTGCTCCTCAGTTACTGTATGGCTCAGTGACTCATGGCTTAGCTCTTAGCCCCATTCAGGGCCTCTGCTCATTTTCTGCTGGTCACTCTTGAATTTCCAGAACCTGTGCCTTCCCTGGACATGATTCCTCTTGGCTAGCCCAGAGAAAGGGAGATGCCCAAAGCCTGGATATCACCTCCTCCCAATCCCAAGTATCCCAGGGTAGCACTCACACAGGCCCACAGGTAGCAGACTTTTAAAGAAGAATTTGGAAAATTGGAAGAAGACAACACTACTTGTAGCACAGATCAGCAAACAACTTAAAATTACATGCATCACCACTGACTGAGGCACTTACACTGCCTTAGGGAACTTCCCCTTCTTCCCAGTCAACCTGCAGCAGGCTTGGGGTCTATCCCCTTCTTTAGAAAGACCACAGCTCAGTTTTGCACTACTTCCCCAGGTCTCAGATTCCCACAAATTCATCTCACGTTGCCAGAAGAAAAGAAATAATTTCTGGGATTTTACTTTGTCAAATAAAATGATTTCAATTTGACTGCCAATTCATTAGCTATTATCTAGCATAGTACGCCCACTAGCCAGATTTTCTAGCTTATTATTTCCCCCAAGCCCTAGAAAAAAGATGCTACAGTTGCCATGTTTTCTTTGAAGTAAACACTGCTTTTCTTGCAATATCTTTCTTCTCTGCTCTGTCAGTTCTGCCTTGGGTTCAGACTCTCACTACCATCACTTTGAGGCTGGTTAGGGTTAGGGTTCAAGGGGGTCTGCTTGGAATACTTTGATCAAGTTACCCAAATTAGCAGAACATAGATGAGAACATTCTAGACGGCCTGTGTGCAAAGCAGCATTGTGAATACACATGCTTTATGAGCATGAAGAGACGCAGAATCCATTTTTCTCAAAAAATAGACATATTTGTAGCAGTGACTTACATAACCACCAAGCCCTCCTGCTGCCAGCACCAAGAATAACCTTGATGCTTTTGAATGTAAAAATCAATAGAGAAAGAGATTAACAACAGAAAGAGATAGGTTTTAAAAAAAAAAAACAACTCTGATTCTAAATGTGCATTC